ACTAAAAGGTATGATACCAAATGTACTAAAAGTACTATCTGCCCCTGATCAGAGTATGTAGTATTTTACCTACTGTACATGTGCATTGGTCAAACAAATAAATAAAATGAAATTATTATATGATCATCATTACTATTACATTCCACCACAATTATAAGGCTTTTTTTTTTTACTATTCATTTGGTGCACAATATCAACTATATTATCTTATAAGCCAGACAATCCTATTATTATTATTATTATTATCATTTTTACTATTATTGTCACCTTTTTAGGTAAAAATGTCCATTACCATCATTATTGTCAATAACAACATGGTGATCATGATCATAGCATTAATATCTTTTGTCACCACCATTAACAATAATCAAATCATTATCAATAACACATAGACATCATTATCCGTCATGCCATCTAACATACCTATCATCTCCCCTTGTTCATGGACGATATGAGCAAGGTCCTTAAAAATGTGATTAACATCCAAAATATCAGACTACAAGATAAAAAAAAGTTAAAATAATAAGTCATCATACAAATTTCTATTATATTATTTTTTTAAATTGTATTCAGTTATATAATGCATTTCTTCGCAAATACAGAGCACGTCTGTCCAAAGTAATTGCGTGGGACAACCTTAAGTATTGATGCTGTAGTCAGTGCAGTAGGAGCAGGCAATTCCACCAATTTATACTCCTGGGTGGAGAGAAGCAACGCAGATGAATGCCTTGCTCAAGGACACAAGTTAAATGCACGGAAGGGATTGAAACACCGACCTTCAGGTTGGGAAACCAAATCAGTCCCGCCTTACCAATCAGCCGTTCTGTGGCAAAACAACGTAACTTGGAATTTTCACTTTTCAAGAAAAATTAGAGTTTGCAACTTGTCAATAAATATTCATATATTTCTGATAATTATAGACATTATGATTACATAAAAATGTTTAATTACAACCGTTGGTTTATTTCAAAGTTATTAACGATATTTATAGATACGTTGTTTTACCTCGGAAACATGTCAGGCATGATATTGTCACGAGTACAACCTATTTTTGGGATTAATTACGTTTAGGGCAATCATATGCATTAATTAGCTTGTGCATATGTCGTCGGTTAGATTACTGATATGAAAACACCATCAACTAGTTGATTTTGCCTTGCCAAACTCAATCATCTCAAAACAATTTTTCAATGCCACTCTGAGGAAAAAACAATGTATCTTCATCATAGATACGTTGTTTTGCCATGTAATCTTGCAGTTACGTTGTTTTACCACAGAAAATCATTACATTTTAAGTTTTGTGTTTAAAGATAGGTGGTGCTATCTCCAAAACTACTTATTGTTGAGACAAGAAATTTTAAAAAGTAATTCAGAAGTGTTTAATATACTCCCAAATGATATCTCAAAATCGACAGAAATGTCAGTTACATTGTTTTGCCTCGGAAAGACTACAAACCACAGTACTATTTGTCTGGCGTAAGCACACAGTAAGGTAGAATCTGCACTCATAGGGACTCTAATTTCTTTACCATAAACAGACAGGATAGAAAAAAACTAGCTATGGTAATGAGGAGAAAATTTCATATTCTTTGATTGGTGTGTATGTTAGTCTTGGCTGAATGGTGGACATATATTGTGGTAGCATATATTATATATATATATATATATATATATAAACAGAAGCAATGAAAACAACATAAAAACAATATGAACAACTATTACTACTGAGCTTTGTGGATGGCTAAGAGGTATTGTTCATTCTTCTTGCGCTGAAAACTCTGGTTCAAATCCGGCCACAATCAGGTTCAAATTGGAGTATTATCACTTGGCTCTTTGAATAACCTTTATATTAAGCGTTAGGCAGGTTAAGGACAAAGGGTGTATCCGTATGTGTCCATTGTATGTTGTAGTTAAGTTGGGTGACACTGCACTGCGGCTGCCAGTGTCCCCTGGGGCCAAGCCTAAATTTCAGATTTCCAATTAGAACAAGGACAAATAAGGAATTATATTATTAAAGTTGAGAGCAGTTAAAATTGGTGGTAAATTCTGATTGATCCCTGGTTCAAATTCATAAAGCATCTTTTCATGTGAAATACAGGTTATAATACATTATTTTTTGAAAGAGTCATTTAATATGTTATTACGTGTACAAATTGAGCATTTTCATCCAGAGGACTACATGTTTTTATTGTATCATTTATCTCTATAATACCTCAAGCTTCTTCAGCTGGGCTTCCCTTTCCTGTAGTGATTCTAAGTCATCCTCTTGAAACATCACCTGTGATGTAGTTGTACCAGATCCACTGGTGGAAAAGTTTATACAATAAAAATCAATGCATACAACTTTATCTATCTTTCAACAAACTGTAGTTTAAATAACTCTTTTGCAGTTAATACAAGTTATTGAAACCTTGCATGGCAAATACATTATAATTCTATGTACTCTATCCAGTAGGAGCTGTTTAATTGGAATCCTCCATATACTGTATATAAAAAAAAACAAGATTATAGGTGTGCCAGTAAAAACTAAACTTATGACAGTGGATTAAATCACAACAATTAGAATAAAAGCACAAATCTGCATCAATATAATTATATAATAAGTACTGACATATTATTTAATTGAATGCACTTATTCACTAAAATGCCCTCTACCATCTTCTTTAAAAAAATTCTGTCAAAACGGCATATGGTTTATGGAGGGAGTATTTGAATCAAAGGTCCAATTTAATTTTTAACAACCCTGGTGTTGCTTGGTCTTTGTCAAATAACATGTACAAACAGAAAGAATAATAACCATAACCGAATTTATTCAAAATTGAGGAGGGTTTTTAAGGGGGTGTTTATTCGAAGGAAGCATTTATTCAGTGGAGGACTTTTATTTTTTTAGTATAAAATGGATATGTACATACTCAAATAAACACCCCTTAATTTCACTGTAAATGTGGAACTAAAATTACAGACGAAATGTGTTATTGTGTGAGCATAGCACTTAAATTAAAAGAATTATTAAACTTTCTGTACACCATGTGTAAAAATATGGTTTTTGTGGTAAAAACCACTGGTTGTTTGTCTCAATGTTGTCTCAACGAGATTTGTATTGACCGTCATAAGGAGACTTCTGTTAAGCGGGGGGAAGGGTGCGTTTATTTGAGGAAAAATAAACGCCTGGGACGTTTATTCCAAATGAGGCTCAGAAATGGACGTTTATTCAAATAAACGTCACTGACGTACAACTAACTAAGAAATAATAATCATATTCTGAATCTTGCAAGAGAATCTTACCCTAATCCAAGTAGGTCTTCATTGTGACCATTGTCCTCGTAGGGGTTCTACCGATAAAGAGAAACACATAGAACTAGCATTACAAAATATGTGCAGAGAAAATTCAGGTAGAAAATTCACTTAAAAAGTATACAATAATAAAATGTAAGCATGAAGTTATTCAAAAACATTAAAATCAAGATTTTGTAAAAATTCTGACTTTGACCTATTTTGATTTCAATAATGATGCGTCTCAGTTTGTTGTGAGACCTCACATACTTTTGAACACTATGGAAAGAACATAATGATATAATACAACGTTGTACTTGCATTACATCATCAAAATGGAGGAAAAGCTTTCTTCACAATTACAATATTAGAGAATCATCCATAGAGTGCACACTGAACCTCCGCTCTGTGTCTATATAACGAACAATACGCAGTTTGTTTTACGAGGGAAATTCCATTATTTTCCGCCCTGTGCCTAAATCCCAAACAATACACAGGCCATGTATGATGGGCCATTCCATTATTTCTTTTATGCTTGGGGTAAAAAACTAAACTTCTGTGACCTTTCCTTCCCAAAACTTAATCATCTCTTTCTTTGAATATTACAGTATGTACCGTTCCACTAAATTTTATGATGATCTATTCATTGTATTTTGCTCAATCTTCCTAACAGACAGACAGACATACAGCTGTGAATAAATAACCTCCTTTGGCGGAGGAGATAATACTATTTGTTAATACATAAAGTAATGTTTGAAGGTTAGTACTGTAATACAAATTGTTAGCAAAAGAATGTAGTACTTACAGCAGAAGTGCCTAAGCCAGAGGAAGCCCTGACCCTATTCACACATTCTCTCTGTCGTTGAGCAGCCTCCCGTTGCACCCGTTGGAACTGGTTCAAGGCTGTTGAGAAGTCATTTGTCAGTCTCTCCTTCTGCATCCTAGCCTGCCTCTTTAGTAACAAATAGAAAAAAAATGTTTTACGTCAGAACGCATGTAACTTGTTACATACAATTAACGTTGGAACAGGATCAAAAGGTAGACCACACAGTGGTGGTGCGGCAGCAGTAAAGTACTAATTCTAATACCGATTCTTGGCCAGAATTCTGATGTACAGTATATATCCCTGGCGCCAAGGGAGATGTTCAGAAATAGGAATATTTTTAGTCTCAGCGAACAAGAGGAAGGCTTTGAGATTAGGTCTCTACTGGCACTACCACTGTGTGATGGTAGTAGTAGTAGTAGTACAGTAGTAAAGTTGTGGTGGTAGTTAATGTAGCAGTAGTAATAAATAGTAGTGAAGGGCAGTAGTAATAATTGTAGTTTTTACGTACTGTATCTTGTCCTGATAAAGAAAGTGAAGCCATATCCTTCAGATGTGAATTGGTTTCCTTTGCAAGCTGGTTGGTGAAATGCTGGACCTCATCACTACAATACAAACAAAATGATTCTAGTTCAGTGGTTCGCAAATCTTTTTGACCGCTGACCCACGTAATTGTGCGGTATTTAATCGCGAGCCTCATCCCAGATGCGGTTACACGCTATTATACTGGGGTACATGGTGGGGTCTGTGTGTCAAATTTCTTGCAGACCATAGTAAAATTGCGTTGTACTATATTTTTTTTTTCTCCTGTAATGTTCTGCTGTATAATTATATATAATTTAATAGTAAATGGTAAATGAATTAATTGAACTTATCTCCACTAAAAATATTATTTGGTGGCTACTGCGAATCGGAAATTATTTAAAATGATATCCGAAAAGTTCTCTCTCACTAAAGCGATATTTGGCAAAAAATTGAATTTTTTTAAAGACATCGTGAATCTTAAATATTTTGGCAAGCAATCCAATTGGGGTCGTAACCCATGGGTATGAGAATCGCTGTTGCTGATTGGTTGTAGTAGCAAACTGACTATCAAGCAAAATCAAGTGGATTGGCCAACAGAATTTGCTAATAAAAGCAACATCAATACTAGAAACTGTCTACTGTAATGGATCATTTGATTGGCCAATATTGTCAAGTTCTGATTTAATGTATAAACAACAACAAATTCCACCCCTCTCCCACCCCCAAACATACAATTGGGGAATTCCAGTGGATGAGCTAATCAGACGTAAAGTAGGGGTTGGGCTTACACTCAAAGTACTGAAGGCTTATACATGAGATTAGTAAATGAAATAGGACACATGTGAAATAAACATTAATTTAATATTATAATCTGTCTATGTAAACAAGAGGGTTCCTTACAAAATGGAGTTGGGAAGGTGGCTTTTCTAAGAGACATTTGGACAGCATGCAAGGTCCAGGTGTATGTTAAAAAACATAAATAAATACAAGTTATGGTACTTACAGTTTCGTACGCAGATCATGATCATCTTCACGTGTCCCCAACTTATCGACCATTCGTTGAACTTCACTCACTAGAAATAACAATTATATAAAAAACATTAGCGTTTGCTAGGCCATCATCACCAATATACAGTATATTCAGCTACATGCAGGACTGAGAATACTACCACCCACCTCATTCCACCACCCATCTTCTTCCAACACCTACCTCCTTCCACCATCCCTCTTCTTTCTCCCCTATTATTATAGACATTACAGTATGACTTCTTCCTTCCTAACATGGGTTTTGCTAAAGCAGATCATGTCAAACAACCTTTGCTTCTATCTAACATGGATGTGCATTGCCCTCATCCATTGACTTTTAGTTACTGGTCTTTCTTTAAGCCTACAAGAGGGTTTGGCCCACCCACGAAATTTGTTGAGTGGGCCTAGGTCCACCCTGTGCACACCGCTAGTGCATTGATATAATTATCTACCTTATCAAAATGAACTCTCAGAATTCAAATGACTAATGTTTTATTTTACTCATGCTAGGACTGATACCTTTTTTTTCAACCATTTTCCCCAGCCATAGACTACTCTCACTCAGTGATCTCAGAACATCCTGCTGTCTCAACCTAAATACATCTCAAAGTTAATTGTCTTTTTTCATCAGCTAGTAGTATGAATGTTATCGTATTTTGAATCTTCTATGTCATAACCTCCTTATAATTTAAAAGAAGTTGGGACTGTAATAATAGGTGTTTAATCTTGAAGAAGCCAGTAGTTAATGTTATTGATTTCTAAGTCATTAATTCATGCTATTCTATCTTTGCACATCCAATATACATCATATTTGTTAGTTATTTAGCTTCTTTGTTTTAGCCCATATTTTTGTTTGTTTTTTAGCTTTTTCATTTATACAAATACATTTTTAAAATGTCCATAGGACTACTACTGTACATACAGTAACAAATACAAAAGTTTAACATTTTTTACATCGTAAACCAACGTATATGAATTGTGATTAACAGAACACATTAAGTGTTAGTCTGGCTGTCATATAGTGCATCCCGCCGATGATTATGAATTTCTAACTCTATTATGTAGGCTACCACATGTTCTAATAATCAGAAAGCAAGTATGTTTTAATAATATAGTTCAGTATAACTTATTAAAATAATGTATAAGACATTTTGCACAGTTTAAAATACAAAAGTAAATCTTGCACAAAACTTGGGTACGGGCTAGCCAATTATGGGTACAGGCTCGCCAAATGTAAGGATACGACTTGGCATAGGTATGAGTTAGCCTGTTAATCCTGTTTGAAATCATGAATATGTTATTTAAGTTATTTATAATCTCTTGAAACCGTTAGTGAACATTATTTATAATATTGAAACATGGGTGAACATTAATTCAACTACTGTATATATAATATTAGAACTAGGTATGAATAGAATTAATAGCATATTGATTAAATTAATTATTAATGGAACTTTAAAGATAATCCGCTAACATATGATTTCAGCATCTTGTTGGAAAGTGTCTATGGGTCTGATCCCCTTGTTTTGGCCATGTGGATCCCTTGGAGACCTAAAGGGCTCCTAAAAGTCAGGGGCTCCTATGTTTCGGAGGTGCTGGGGACTGCTGCACAAGAGCACAGGTGGACAATGAAATAAAGTAAATTTTGATTTTTTTTTTTTACCTTTAGTGTTGATTTTCTGTATATTGCTTCCAATGACTTGTGAAAGTCTGTTAAAATCTGATGTATTACTTCTTCCTGTAGTAAACAAAAAGGGAAAAAAAATGAAATAAATTAAAATAATATAAATAAAAAATATATAACCTATACCTATAAAAATGAACAACAAATAACAAATTTCAGACTATTTATTTGTTGCAATACACCAATCTGTTGATGACGAGGTAGAAGCAATTAAATATTAATGAGTCTACAATTGAAATAGGATGTTAAAAACACAAGTGATATTTGATAGATTAAATACAACTACCAACTGTAAACTATTAACAAATTATTAAATTATCATTATTCTAAGAGTTAATTACTTTCAAATAATTAACTGAAGGCTACTGATGAGCTTACCGCCTGAATTTATGTAAGATGCATCATACATCTCCGACCCAAAGTCTCCCTTGCCGTAAGATGCCATTTTGGTATAAGTACACCTCGCTGAATCCAGTATGGAAAGTAAGGCTGAAGTTAAAATCTGCTTTCTTCAAAACTGTGTGTGCATAAATGCACTAGTAATTAGGTAGAATTAAAGTAACCCTCTGTGAAAATAAGATGTTGAGTGTTCATTTGTTTCTGACATAAATTTCAGTGATGATGAGGATGATACTATGATTAGCAAATGGCAAAATAAAATCTCAATATATACAATAAGAAGAAATGAATACCATGAAATATGCTGTTTCTATTTATTTACTTATTTATTTATTAAACTTTATATTGGGCATGGCTAGGGTGGGGGAGGTGTCCTAAAACCACATTCATTATTGATTAGGCAGCATGGAGACCTCAATAAAACACGAATTAATAGATACTACTGTAGCAGCAACAGATTAACTTCACACACACGTACATCATACACAGCTTTCCGCCTACTTGGCGTTCCATACAAATATATCACGCCCGAACTGTCTACCCCTAGGGCCTAGGCGTAGGCCTAGCCGCTAGGAATTTTCTCTAGTCTAGCTAGGCCTAGCCTTAGTAGAACGTTTATGGCTAGGCCTAGGCTTTGAAATTGGTGGATTTAGGCTTAATTTTTGACAATACTGTACCAAACATACTGTGCTACCACATGGTCACACAGGCTCAATCTTACAACTACATTAACAATCACGCTCACCTATCGATAACCTATTGTGTCGTTCCCGACATATAGGCCTAGGGGGCCTAGAGGCCTACTACTACGGTTTAAAACGTTAAAGAACTGCCTATAATAAAGTAAAGTAAGGTAGGCCTGGCTCACTTCCGGATGTGTTTTGTTTATGTATACAGAGTAGCCTACCAAACTATACATAATTTCTACACTAGGATAAAAAGAAAAATCACCTTTAGTACAAACCACCTCAATAAATATGCGAAGTAGATTATTAATCATATATTAATAAAACAATTATACACAGGCCTGCCTCTTCCGATTACAGTATTCTGACCTCTTACCGTATGTCATCATCGATCAAAAATAGCCAACCTATATACTTAGATAGAGGGCGCGTGTTATAAGAAGGTTGACTTAATCCACCACCAGCCATTAGGAACATAGCCTGGTTCTCACGAGAGCCCTAGTATCCGGATCGGGAGCTAACCGTTAGCACCTGCATGAGAACGCCCGGTCAATTAGCGCTAACCGTTAGCAGTATCCGGATACCGCTAACGGTTAGCAAGGATCCGGATCCTGCCAATCCTGCTCACCGTTAGCTGCGGTGCGTCCATACAAGAAAATCCCGATCCGGATACCAAAAATATGATGATCGAATCACTGGCCAATAAGAAACTGGAAATTGTAAACGCGTACGTGTGATTGGTTGATGATAGAAACGCGCACAACTTGCTAACCGATACCGGTTGCTAACCAGGAAAGCCTGGTTCTCTCGAGAGCCCTAGTATCCGGATTGGGAGCTAACCGTTAGCGCTAACCGTTAGCACCTGCGTGAGAACGCCCGATCGGTTAGTGCTAACGGTTAGCAATATTTTTTGAATTATCTTTTTTGACCACACAATAGCTGGCCCTCTTTTGTTCCAAAAGACTAATACAAAGACTTGTGTAGACTTGTCACCCCCACTGGGGTCCACTCGCTAGTCATAAGGTTCGCTATTCATAAGTTCCACTGTTCATAAGGTCCGCTAGTTACAAAGACAATTGTTATAAGGTTCACTATTCATAATTCTTTAAACAGTCCACTATTCATAAAGCTCATTATTCATAAGGTTCGCTAATTATAATAGAATAACAGGTTTGCTAGTCATAAGGTTGGCTAATTATAATTTAATAACAGGTTCGCTAGTCATAATAAAGGGTTCATTAGTCATAATCAAGAAAAGAGTTCGTTATTTATAATAGAAAAATAGGACCGTTAGTCATATTCATAATTTAAAAAATAAGGTTCGCTTGCCATAATAAACAAAAAATGTCGCTAGTAATAATAGAAAAAGAGGTTTAAACGCTAGTCAAAATATATAAAAAAGATCCAATATTCATAATTTAAAAAAAAACCACACCGCAAATACAAACTTAATTAAATAGAAGGAATTTTCTTAAATATTCTAAGTTTTTAAAATGTAAATATTAAAAATTAAAGTCTATAATTAAACAACACGTACAATAATTAATATATGTATATATGTATATATATATATATATATGTATATATATTATATATATATATATATATAT